AATTAAAAATGAAAGTTGTGTTGATTTTTGTTGAACAGTCTGTCATAGCAGTACGTTATTAATTCGCAATATTGGCATTTAGTTAAACAAATATTTTCATTGGTTGATGGTGAATTTTATAAAAAAAAGGGTGGTACAAAATTATATTGTGCTAGTGAACCAATCAGAATAAAGATGATGATTTTAAAATTTTGTGAGAAGTGGTAAACTGACTAGAAATAGCTACCAATACAATCGAAGGCATAGCGTTATAGAGAATAGATTTATACACAATTTAAATGTTTTGTAGTTGATAGATTACTTTTATATTTCATCACAAAAAACGAAAACAATTCGTCATGATTGTTTAACGAAATAGGAACGGTTGACTTTTGTTTTCTTCTGCAGATTAAACAAGAATTTACTGCTTTACTTTTCTTGATTCAAAGTAAACTCTTAACAAAATCATATTAATTCATAACATGACAATCAATAACTACTACTATTTTGTTTAAATGATTGATAAATCGAAGTATTTTTATGTACATAAATCTAAGAGTATTGTACTTACTTACTTACTTGCGCCTAATATCTCCAATGGAACATAGGCCGCCCACCAGTTTTCTCCAACCAACTCTGTTCTGAGCTTCCCGCTCCAGTTCTGTCCAATGTTTGTTCATTCTTCTCATATCTTTCTATATTTCTCGGCGTAATGTGTTCCTTGGTCTTCTTCTTTTCCTTTTGTCTTGAGGGTTCCATGTGAAGGCTTATCTTGTGACGCAGTTAGGTGCTTTTCGTAATGTGTGTCCTATCCATTTAAACCGCTTCTTCCTGATTTCCTCCTCCACTGGAATCTGGTTTGTTTTCCCACTGTTCGTTGTTGCTGATGGTGTCTGGCCAACGAATCCGAAGTATTTTGCGTAGACAACTGTTCATAAACACTTGTATCTTCTGGATGATGGCTTTGGTAGTTCTTCAAGTTTCCGCTCCATACATTAGAACTGTGTTGACATTTGTATTGAAAATTGTGATTTTGGTTTTGGTTGAAAGTTGTTTGGAGTTCCAGATATTTTTCACAAGAATATTGTAACGTAACATTATTTAGTGAACATTTTATAAACTCTATCGAAAGGCATTACATGAATGATAAGAAATTACATACAACCTCTTACAGAAAGTAAACTAACATTTCACTAATGAATCTATTCAAAATAATTGAAAATTAACAAACGAGTAGACATATTACACGTGATTAGTTTAACACAGAATTCATATCCCTGTTATGTTCTTGTGACATTTATTATATGCTTAGCAAACTTCTACTTTATTAATTAAAATTAATTATAACAGTGTATGATGAAATATACTGATTAATAAAATTCATTTTCATGATGCTTCGTATTATAAAGTTTTGGAAAAGCCCACTGGTCCACTGAATTCCAATTTTCTAATGCCGGTCGATCGATTCTTGATTTCAAATGGTAATCTTCATTAGTTACTGGTTCGCAGTTGAATATATATATATATCGTATTGGAAAAGTTTAATATTGACTTATGAATTACTTATTAATTTACGTTTGATTCTGTCAGCTTCTGTAAACATACGGAAATCAATGAATAAATGAGTTCCATGAGAAGCTATCATTGTGTTATATTTATATCATATCATTCACATTCTAGTCATTGATTTCTATCCTTGAAAATATTTCGTTAATTAACTTATTTTCATTATAAGGTTGTAGAGATTGTTGAGTTTTTGGGAAATCATGAATCAGTCAATGTTTGACCACCATTAGAAACCTGGAATCACTAAACATCTGTTTCGTCCAGGTGTCGGACTTATCAGTAGTGCACATTTACGGCTCCCGCTACTAATAGGAATCGAACCCAGCATCCACGGTCTTGAGCGCGAATGCTTAACCTTTGGGCAGGCATCAAAACAATGTTTACGTCTAACTTCAACCAATCCACGGTTTGCACAATCTTATCACATTTCAGAATAAAACGGACGTCTACTGCTTCCAGGCTTCTAATTGAGGTCTAACAATGATTGATTCATGATTTCAATGAAATTCATTGAAAAGAAGAAACTTCCTCCAAAAAAAAACTTAATATCAGGAACTATTTTGAAATTTCACAAAGTATTTTTCTAGATTTTGAAAACTTTTCAAAGAAATTCTTTCAAAAAAAAGATTTTAATTGATTTCCAATATTCCAATGACAAATTATAACAGACAGATATTAGAAAGATGTTAACTCATCATTACAAAACAATAATAATTACATGATCTTAAAAGTGAAAAAATATCAATTCACAAACTCGAAATCATTATTCAGAATCTAAATTAACACCGTTGGATGCCGGCTCAGTTGTCCGATGGTTAGGTGTTCGCGCACAATACCGAAGGTCCCGGGTTCGAATCCTGTGAGGTGTAGGAGTCGTGGATGCACACTGCTGATGATGAATCCCATACCAACACGAAACGGCCGTCTTTCAGTGCTTCTAGGTTTCTAATGGTAGTCTAACAATGATTGACTGATTGATGATTTCAAATGTGTAAAAAAACACAAACCTCCAAAACTCTGCCGGAAAATAAATTTTCTCATTTAAACTTGATAATGATGAATTCATTGTCAACTAGAATTGTAAAAGTGTTGTTGTTGCTCCTCAATAGTCCTAACCCCTCCCCCGCCTCCAAGTATTTCAATTGAATCTACCAAAATGGTGATATTATTATTTTTGTATTATGCTCAACAAACACCTACTTATTTAATCTTCAAAAATGTTACATTTTGTAAAATAAATTTTATTTCAAAAAAAAATTCATTCATCCATATCAATGTTATTATTTGTTTATTTAGAAAACCAAAAAAAAACAAAACAGAAATTTTCAAAATAAAATGACTATGAGTAGTTTTATTCACTCTCACCGCCTTATTGTCATTATTATTATTACTACATTCTTTAAATTGAGTAAATTTCAACTTGAAATTCTTTTATTTTTTTATTGATACATAAAAATAAATATCTACAGATATTATTTCCTTTTTATTAAAAAAAATAAACGATTAAATATCTCTATTTTAAAACAAGTGTAATATAAACAGGGGAAAATATTTCTATATACATATATGTATATACAGTCAATTTGATTTTATTGATGTAATCAGATAGTTTTAAAGTTATATAGGAAAAAAATTTGATAGGGAAGCGACTATCGCATCCACCAACACAACCATTTCTACTACTACTTCAACCAACCACCCACCCACCCTCCAACCCACTCTTCATTTATGAAACCATAAAATTTCCATGTTGTTGATTCTTCTTCTTCATTATTTTTCTTAAATATAAAATAAAATGATTTTTATGTGAATTATTTTAATTGTCATTAAAATGTATTTTGAGCAATATTATTATTATTAGTAGTATTAGAAGTAGTATATTAGATAAACATAAAAGAAGAAAGGATGATCTGTGTTATTTTGTAAGTTATAAACCACACTACACTCAATCTATTATAATGTCTTGTGATGATAAAAGAAAACTTTTCATTTAATCTTTCTTCCATCTACTCACCTATATTATCATCTCTAATTAAATATCACATAAAACAAAAGGGTATTTTTTTTTCTTTACTGAGAATGTTATGGGTAGAGGTAAATGATATAAAATCAACATTTTGATTTACTCTGATAATTTGATATATGATGCAGTAAAAATTGTTTGTTTGTTTGTTAATTTTCAAAGTTCAAATGAATATGTAGGAGTATTCAATTTTTTTTTCTGTTTAAAAGAGAAACAAATGGGGAAAATTAGAATAGATTAAGAAAATTATATACATTTACTCATAGAGGATTTTACTTTACCTTTCTTAAAGTGTTTTTATTTTCATTGAATACCTGTATTTGGTAATGAAAGTAAACAATTTTTACATACAGCATATATATATATATATATGGGTTTAGATACACACTACGTTGAGTTCTGATTAAGTGAACTAGAAGTTGAAGGTTTGTGCGCTAGACAAATGGTATTGCGTTCAATTTTCGGTTTGAGGGCTTGAATTCCCACTCTTATTAAGTCTTATTCTAGAATGAAATGTCTGTCTAGTGCTTTAAAGTCTTCAATGATTGTTTAACTGAGATTTTAGTAAAATCTAATGATTCACCTTTCTAACACCAGTCAAACTACGGTGTTGAATAAGCTTACTGTCATTGGTATGATGAAATTTCTATTGCCTAACCCAACAACATTGTTCTATTCCATAGTTTATAACCTATTAATACAATTGGAACTAACTAAACCTCATCATATCTAAAAATCATGAAGTGAACAGAATAATTAATATAAATGAAATAAACAGTTAATCATATTTGAAGATAAAAGATTAGTTTACTTCAATTTAAAGTTGATTTGAACATTGAAAAATTCCCGATTACATTACTATTGAAGTTACACAGAAATCAATTCGATTAAAATATAATGAAGTTTATATCATAAACAAATAAAAATATTTTTCAGTTAGAGTTGTAGAGATTAGTGTTTTTTCGCATATTGAAATCATCAATCAGTCATTGTTAGACCATCATTAGAAACCTGAAAGAAATAGACGACCATTTCGTTCTAGTATGAGACTCATCAGCAGTGCGCATCCACGACCCCTCTACCTCATAGGATTCGAACTCAGGACATTCGGTCTTGCCGGCGAACGCTGAACCTCTGAATTATTGGGCCGGCATTCAACGGTGTTAGTGTTTAACTCCGATTGATCTAGAGATTTTGCGAGACCTCATCCATTTGTCTTTGATTTTTACTGCCTGCATCCGACACGGTTGAATTCTACGGGTTACGTCTTCTCACTAGAACTTCGAGAAGCTATTCACTAGTGAGCACATTTTAAGATTTTTCAATAAATCAACATTGAAAATTTATTAAACTCTTTTAACATTTTACTTCGCTACATGTTATTTATTTTTGTTTGATTTTCTTTTTCACCATTCAATTTTTTTTAGTAAAAATGTCTTCAATTATATTTAAACAAGAAGCAACTAATGACAATTCACCGACATCAATATCAACTGGGGAACAACTATGTATGAATATTACTAATAATAGTAATAATAATAATAATGACATTAATTTAAACCATAATAATATTAATATCAATAACTCAGGTAATGATTATTTAAATGAACAAGAATTTCATTTAAACAATTTTATAAATAATAAAACAATTACTCCAATCTCATCATCAGTCAATAAAATTAATTCAATGTTATCAATATCGAATAATTTATTTGGAAAAACATTTCAAAATCCATTTATTCATTTAAATTTAACTAGTCAATTTAATAATCAATCAAATCATCAACATCGTCATCATCATCATCAACATCAGACGGTTAATGATAGTGACAATTCAGAATTTATTAATTCTATAGAACAACATGAAATGATACATAGTGAAGGAAATTATTCAACATTGACACCAACATCATCATCATCATCATCATCGGAATGTTTAAAATTAAAAACTATGAATAATATACCATTTTCAAGTGTCAATGTTATGTTGAATAAAGATACAATTGAACAACAGTTCAATGTTCAAAAATTAAATAATACTCGAAATAATAATAATAATAATAATTTAAAAAATAATTTAATTAACTCATCATCATCATCATCGGTAACATTGACAAATGGATCAAAATCTTGCACATCTAATTATTCACATCATCATCATCATCATTCAAGAACAACAATGAACACAGGAACAACTAGTACTATTACCAGTACTACTACCACTACTACAATGTCAACTACAATAAATCAAGATTGTGGTAATTCAATACGTTCAACTGTACAAAATCGATTGAATAATCGTCATCATCAACATCAACATCATCATCATGTTCATCATTATCGATCAACATCGATATGTTCAAGAGCATCATATATGTGTCGTAAATGTAAAACACATGGACATAATATACCAGTTAAACGACATAAACGTACATGTCCATATACAAATTGTAAATGTATTAAATGTCATCTTGTAGATCAAGGTAGAAAAGTGAGTAATATGTCTTGTATATTTTATTTTTATTTTGTTTGTGTTTGGAACTGCAAACCATAAAAGTGTATTGAAGCCTAGTTTTGTGCGTGAAAAGTTTGGTATACTTTTTTAATTAGGTAATTTTTAATTTTATCAATTTAAGAACTGGTCAAAATATATTCTAATATGAGATAATTCTTCAAAAAATAATTCCAATACAGCACAGACAGCAGCCACCAAATCGTACTTGATGGAGAAGCTGTGGAAGATGTGCAAACTTCCATCTACCTGGGAAGCATCACTGGTCAACAAGATGAACCTGATGCAGATTTGAAGACACGGATTAACAAAGCAGAGGGAGAATTTTTACAAATGAAGAACGTCTGGAATTTAAAACAACTGCTAGCTAACATCAAAGTCACAATTTTTAATGCAAATGTCAAAAAAGTTTTACTGTGTGAGGTGGAAACTTGGTGAACGGTGAAAGCAATCATCCGGAAAAATTTGTTCTGAACAACGTTTTTTTGCAGGTTAGATTTCTAAAGGATGAGGTCGTTAATCCTATGCCCAATCCCCCTCTTTTATCCGGGCTTGGGGGCGGTATTAACCTCAGAGTGGCCCAAAAGCGGAGTTATCACCCGGAAGATACAAGTGTTTATTATCAGTTGTCTACACAAGATACTGAGGATCGGTCGATTAGACATCATCGGCAACAACCAACTGTGGTAGAGAACAAGCCAGATCCCAGATGAGTAAGAAAATACTAAAAAGCGTTGGAGGTGGATAGAACACACATCGCAGAAATAAACTAACTGAGTCACAAGACAAGCATTAACTTGCAGTCCTCAAGGCCGAAAGATAAGAAGAAGACCGAAGAACACATTGTGCAGAGAATCTGAAACTATAACTAATTTTCTGGGTGACACTAAGAAATTCTTCAGCTAGGTTGTTGTGCAGGTCATTACTAGACAACAAGAAATGCGTTCAATCTTTAGGTAGACTAATTCTCTCTCGTGGGTTCGAACACTTGACCTTGAACAACAAACAATATTTTTATTTAAGTAGTATAATAATAAATTACATTAGTGATATTAAGATTTAATTTTACAAAATGTTGCATTTAATCGATTATTTTAATGCTACATTTAAATTTTGTGCTGATATATATCAAATAAATTGTACAGGTAAATGGTAAAATCCTTTTAAAAAAATCAACTCTTGAATTAAAATAGAAAATTTTGATTTTAAACTTTTGTTTATGAGTTTTTTTTAGAAAAAAATTATTTTATTATCTTTCTAGGTTGTTGCTAAACAAATAGCTCTATATCGTGATCAAACTGGTAGTTCACATCAACGTGATATACATGAACAACAAACAAGTTTTAATCATACACAAACATCTGCTAATCTACATTGGTTACAACCATCCTCTGAAGTTACGGTATCATCACCTTCGTCGTCAATAACAGCAACAACTACCACTCTATTATCAATGACAGCTACGAATCTGGAACATAATAGAATTGATGAGGTGAAAATCAATAAAAACATAACTACACCTAGAAATAGTACTCGTTTATCCAATAATAATAATACTACTACTACTACTACAGGATTACATAATCCTTCTTTATGTAATGAACGAATCAATTCATCATTTATTCCATTATCATCACATTCTAATTCAATACAACCAATGGTAACAACATTAATAAATGATGATAAACAAACATTAACATCTGGTCCACATTGTCGACGATGTCGTAATCATTCAATAGCTGTTACATGGAAAGGACATAAAAAAACTTGTCCATTTAGAAATTGTCCATGTGATCCATGTCGATTGATTAATGTAAGAAAAGATACAGAAAAAACACTTAGAGAAATGGTATGAAATAACAAAATTTTTTTTTAATAATTTCAAGAATATTTTCTTTTTTTTTTAATTAGAATTATAGAGATTAGTGTTTTGACACATTAAAATCATTAATCAATCATTGTTGGACTACTATTAGAAACCTGGAAGGACTGGATTGGCTATTTTGTCCTATTGTGGGACTCATCATTAAAATGTGCTCACTAGTGAATAGCTTCATGAGGAAATTCTCGGAGTTCTGGTTAGAAGACGTGACCCGTGGAGTCCAAACCTGTCGGGTGTAGGCAGTAACTATCAAAGACAAATGGATAAGGTCACGCAAAATCTCTAGATCAATCAGAGTTAAGCATTATCACCGCTGAATGCCGGCCCAGTAGTTCAGAGATTCGGCGTTCGCACTCAAGACCGAAGGTCCTGGGTTTGAATCCTGCCAGGTGCAGGAGTCATGGATGCTCACTGCTGATGAGTCCCATACTAGGACGAAACAGCCATCCAGTGTTTCCAGGTTTCTATTGGTGGTCTAACTATATTCCTTCTTCCGAAATAGATGACAATTAAATCTTATGTTTGTGTATACACACCTGAATGATTGATTATCTTATATATTAGCCTAGAGAAATATTACTCCTGAAGGATTTAGAAATGCTTTTTTTCGATAAAGTAGTTGAATGCAGTTGTTGTCGAATATTATATGCTAGTTGTCAGCTGGAATATTGAAGAAACTAGTATTCCCCTAAAAATCGCTCATTCGTAAAATCTGTGTATGTCATTGTATAACATGAATTGAAATTTCATGGTTATTATCACTTTCCTCATGGTACCTTAGATGTTTTACTGATAGATACTATAAAGTTATCAAGAGTAGATAAATAGTACCTAACAGTAGAATTTAAGACTAATGTTCCATCTTGTTTGAAACTCTCCGATTCGATATGTCTGGATCGTGCTGCTTATAATCATAATGAGAGATGATTGAATTACTGGATTTCATTGCTAGCAGCGATTCATCTATCCTAAATGACTTATAAACAAAATGTTTATATCAAGGAAATTCACATATATGTATAAAAATAGACTGATCAAAATTCAATTCTGAGTACTAACAATTCGATTTTTTAAACCCTTGCTAATAACGACATGAATGTTATGTAGTATGAAGCATGAGTTCAACTTATCTTCTAAACGATTCTCATCAACTTATTAATAATAATATTGATTAGATAAGAAGTTGTTTCCTTGAAATAAACAAGCGTAGAAAAAAAATTTACTCACTTTCATACAAATTATATTCAATATACTTATCATCAAACTAATTTATTTATTTTCTTCATAGGTAAGTCATAATGAAATAAAACCTTTCACTAATATTTTCAAAGAAAATCGTAATAATTATTCAACGCATAAATTAAAATCAATTGTACAAATGAATTCAACATTGAACGAGACAAATAATCAAACAGACTATACATATAAATCATCAACACATTTATATAATGATCATAAAATTAATCAAAATCATTTTAATGACAATGAAAATCAACAAATCAATGAGAATTCATTATTATTGAAACCATTGAAATCATCACCATGTTTAACGCAATTATTACATGTTAATCAAAATAATAACGATAATAATAATAATAATAATAATAATAATAATAACCTTCTTGTGAATACAACTCGTTCACAATCAAATCATAAATTGAATTCACCACGATCAAATTCGATTGATTCAATTCTGTCACAAAATAGTTCAGAGAATTATCTTAATGAATCATCATTGCCAACATCGTCTACATCACTTTTTAATATGAATCATCTAAAAGATCATACAAATTGGATGATATCAACAAAATCAATAAGTCATCACAAAAATTCAGACTTTTTAACTGCTCATGATATGAGTCATCTTTCATCCTCATCTGATTGGTGGATTCAACCAACAAATTTATTGAATAATATATCAACTATTACTACTACTACTACTGCTACTACTTTAACATCGATATTATCTCCATCTTCATTATCAATGTCTATAAATTATCCTGCACAGAATCCATTGACCACTGTAAACTCAACTGATTGTTGCATTCCATATGAAACGAGTTTGGGACATATTTATCAAAAAATCAATAATAATAGTAATAATAATAATAATAATGATAATAATAATAGTACAGAATTCGATTCAGCAATTACAACAGACTTTTCACAAATGAACTCAATAGAAGATTATTATGAGTCACCAATTATAAAATGTGGTTTAACCAATGAGACTAATGTTAATTTTCATCAAAATGATAATAATAACAATAATAAGAATTATTATCATGATAATTCTGATTATTTTGGTCCTACTATCGATTTTAGAAATCCGTCACCTTATTTATGTAGAATTAATCGATCTCAAGCATACAATCCAACGATAAATAGCCTGAATAATAATATAAATATACCTGTCAATAATAATATTAATAATAACTGTGCTAATCATAACAATAATCCTATGACTAATAAATTCAATTCATATTTCACTTCACAATTACCTAATGAAACAGCTTTCTATTGTCCTGAACGTGTATCAGCTGTAGCAGCAGCAGCTGCTGCCGCTGCAGCTATGGTTGCAATGACACCAGCTATAAATAGTTCACCAAGACGATGTTCTCATCATCATTATCATCATCATCATTGTTATGCACATACACATTGTCATATGAATCAAAATTTTCGTGAAGATTTACCACAACGACATGAACCAGACAATATTGATGATGATTATGATGAAGATGATGAGGATGATATTGTTGAACATGACAATTTATTAATTGAAACAAATACAATAGATCCTAAACGTTATCATCATTATCATCATATGTATAATCAACCTATTGCAATTCAACATCAACAACATCATAAATCTTATGAAACATTAGATTCTGAATTATATTCAAATTTAGGACAAAATCGAATAGTAAGAGATGAATGTTCTCTTGGTGATAGTGATATCTATGTATCATCTGCAATGGATAAAACATGTATGATAACTGGAAATTCACTAACTTATAATGATGAATATGAAGATTCACCAACTGAATATTATACAAGATTTAATAGATCACCAAGAGATTGGATAGATAAGGAGACTGATGATATTCAAAAATCTCAAGAAGAATTAACACCACTGATACGACATACTGGTAATAATAGTAGCAGAAAACATGACTTACCAATAACTACAACATTTCAATGCATTTCATCAAGTAATTGTATGATGTCATTAGCATTGAATCAATTTACTGTAGATAAATTTCATGATTCAAATGTAACTACAATTTCATTAGCTTCATCATTTATACCATCTGAAGTAAATAGCAATTTAACAGTTTCTTTTCCACGTTTTTCTACAAATACACCTACATCACAAACATTGGATTTTATAAATCCAATATGGCGTAATCAGTCAAATTTGAAAATGAATTCTTTATTGTCTGATACATACACACAAATCAATATGTCTAATAATAATCATATTATTCATGATGATGAAGATGATGATGATGATGATGCTGATGATATGAACGATGAAATTAATGATAAACAATTACATTTAAGAGTTTCACCAAGTCATTCAATGATAAATAATTCAAAATTAGAATTCACAAGACATAATCAATCTGAAAAAGGTAATGATGAAAATTTGTCAGCTTGGTCTTTACTACAGTTTAATAATAATAATAATAGTAATAATAATTCAAGTGCATTGATGAGTAAAAGAAATGTCGAATCAACAGATAGAATTACCGATGAAAATTCAACATTGAATGGATGACTGAACTGTTAAAGTGTAAGTCAAATATTTCACTTTCATAATGTTATTTTTATCAGTTGTGCATATCATCTTCTGATTGAAAGTCACATAGAATATTGTCAGAAGAACATTTTAGTGAAATAAGAATAAACAAAACTAGTGTAATATTGTGCAGTCATCTAGACAGATATTCAAATGTCGAATGAAAGAAATCAAACAATCAGTAAACTGAAAGAAATGTTGAGTCATAACAGTGGAATCGAAATCAATTTTTGTCATTTTTAATCTAATATGAATAATTTTCATGAGTTCAACGCTTAAAATTGAAAGAAGTACAGTTTAGTCTATTTGATACACTTTCATCTATTCATTTAAATATTAGTTGGTTGTCGGTTCAAGTCATCCATTTGGGATAGAGTTATTTTATGTAATAAATAAAAAATTGATTAGATCAATTTTTGCTGTAAAATAAAGTACACTCTAACAAGATAATAGCTATCAGAATAAAATCCCATCGCTATTTTCAATTATTGTTAACCTAACGGCTAAAGTGTTCAGAAATAAGGTTCCTTCCTTGAACCATACTCCAAAAATTATTGTTTAGGCAGTCGATTAGTGTCATCAGTTCCTCACACAAACAATGTAGTTCAAAGCTGAGCGCAGTAACTTTTACATAGTAAATGAATCATAATGTGTATGTTGAAGACTTTTTCATGTCTTTACATCAAGTGACTTAAATTTGGTTGAATGATTGTCAGAAGACAATGAGATTAATCAATCTTTAGTTAACATGAAACAGTTCAATGGTCATTTCCTAGGTTGTGTATTTCATCTAGATCGGATTATTATTTAGTAACTAACCTTTTTAAGGATTGACTAACAGGTTAAAAAAATTTTTTATAGAAAATATACTGACACTATAATATATAGTACACTATTACATAAAAACACAACTTCCTTGATCTATACAACATCAACATAGTCCCTAATGTGCTGTGAAGCGTAAAAATAATTCAATCACTCTTGAAATTATTGAGAATATTAAAAGAATGTGTGTATTCTTGTTGAATTCTTTGCCAAATAAATTGTCTCATCTACTTCACTGACCATCATTGAAATGTTGTCAAAAAAACAAAACAAGTAGACACAATATATTGACTTTCTTGTGGTATTATAATAGAACTTTTTTTTCATACCGGTAACTAATGCCATCATTAATCAGTAATGTCACAAAAATGATTGGTCATTCAGTTATGTGTTGTTGTAGTTGCTGTGATAATGTGTTCCTTTTTTTCGTTAGGCGTCAAATCAAAACTGAATTCTTTTGTTTCATGGTTTAGTTAGTTCGTTTTTTTTTTAAGAAGATAAAACAAAAATGTAACAAATGAATAAATGAAGAGGGATTAATATTCAGGCAAAACAAAAATATGTGGGTATGTTGTTGCCCATCGACAATATTTTCATCATCAGTATATTATAAATTCAATAGAGAAAAAACAAAACAGGAGAGGGGGGAAATTGTTCTAACATTGTAGAGTCTCATTATGTGACTAGCAGTGAGAATTAAGATACACGTTTCATGCTAGTTAGGATTTGTCGGTTAAATACGCCTTAATATCAATGTTTACATTGAAACTTAAACCCAGTAAGTAAGTAAGTCACTTCAACATCCTACGCGTTATCCATTGTGCTACTCAGTTCGAAAAGTCACTAACTTCTTCAGCAGATAAGAATGTGCTTGTAGGATGTATATATGACAATGAAAGATGGTTAGTTACAGCAACAAGGAGTTACAAACCATTTCCAATAATTCTAAGATACTTTTTAACTTGTTGATGAAAATGGTCAAGATGAAGGGAAAGGTCTTGTTGAATATTTGATTACATGAATAATACTTTACCAACTTTAGTGAAAAGATTATAATCAAATAACTTAGCAGTAAACTACTTCATTGGAAAATAAAATGAAAATGTTTGACGATAGTTGACATGGAACTAAGCTTGATCTAAATTTCATATCAGTTGGCACTTGTCAACAAATGATAATATCTCATACTGTGAAACTAGATGGTACTAGTTCAAATATCATTGAGAGTATCAATACTATAACTAACCTTTGTTGAAAATGTCAACTCACACAAAATTTAGCTAGATGGTTTTTTACTGACTGCCTCCAATCACTGAATAGTTCGACAATAGTTCAACTAGTAACCATATTACATCATGACTGATAAGATTTGATCAACACTAAAAACGACTAGGTAGTCATGATATTAGTCATTATTCATTGATCAGTTAATTGTTTTGTTAATTCTGCTACCAATATATCAATAACCATTGGACAGCGGGAAGCCTTGAACAACTGTTTCAACAATCTCTACAACTCCCTGCCCGGCACAAACAGTATCACTGTTAACATTATGAGATTAATATTAAGTTCCAACTAAAACAAACTAAACACTCATCTTTAATATCTACACAGATAATTTTCCATATGAAATCATCAATCAATTTATCCCTACGAGATGCAGGAGTTGTGGATGTGCACTGCCACTGATAAGTCCCATATCAGGACAAAACGGCGGTTCAGTTCTTCCAAGTTTCTAATGGTGGTCTAACAATGATTGATTAGTGATTTCAAATGTGTAAAAACATTAATCACCATAACTCTAATCAAAAATTTTTTTCATTTATTTTTTCTACCTTCTTTCTTCTTTTTTAATTTTAGTTCTTACTGATAGAATCCAATCAATCTTATCTAAATATTATGAGCAGAAATGGACACAACCCATTCACATCTATAGATCGAAATCCATTCTGTATATCTTATACAATTCATTAACATTTCAAACAAACTGAACTGGTGATGTTTTATTTTGTCTCTCTTAACACTATACAAATCTGACAATTAATACATTCCATGCCCTTTATCATTTTTTTGTTTACAAACATAGATTTTCGATTGAACTAGTAATAATAATAATAATAATAATAATAATAATAATAATAATAATAATAATAATAATAATAATAATGGTAAAAATGATCCATGACATTGAAATTCTCTTCTTTATAATTTGTCAATGAATAATATTATAGTTTATTTCTTATATTATTTTATTATGTCTTGAATGATGCATATTTCATTTTTTCAAAATATACAAAACAGAAAATCAACAATGATGATATGGTACATTTGCATCTATTTATTTCCTTATTTATTTATTTATGAAAAAACAATCCAATTTAAATTACACTTATAATAATAATAATAATACTGTTGCTGATGTATGTTGCAGCTTTGATTCATTTGTTTACTTTCTATGTTTAATTGTTTCATCTTTTGTTAAATGTTCAATTTTTTTTTTCAAACTGACTGTACATTTTAAATCAGATTGTTTGTTTGTTTTTTTCGGAAAAAGACGAATGTAATTCAAACAAAATAATTTTTATGTAACATTTATACACATTTTCTGTTTAATCTTGTAAAAATTTAAAGAAATTTTTTTTAGCTCGTTGTTCTTTCCATAAAATAATAATTATGCTAATATTATTTAGTATAAAACAAGATTTATGAATAACACGTAAATATTGTTGAATTTATTATTGATCTATTCAGCTCTTTTTCCCCGTCGAATTATTCACTGAAATTATTATTATGATAAATAAATATTCAATATTTTCTTGAAGAAATTATTTCATTGCATTGTTGTAACAGAGAAACTAGTTAAATTTAGAAATAATTGTAAATCATATGAATGTACACTTTGTGTAATGTTAATAAAATAATTTTCGAAAAAAATCGATTTTTCTTTGTAAATCCAACGAATACAATTTACTGTTAGTTGCATTCTTTGGTGTAGTTTAGTTGAATGATGTTGTAGATTTCAATGGGGGGGGGTAGCAGTAGTCAACTAGTGAAGCATTGAATCATTATCTTAGTCATAATTTGTTTTAATTTAGAAGAATTGAAACATTGAATCAGACAAACAATTGTGTGGTGAAGGAGAACACAGGTGGGGTAACCGAATTGTATTTAAGGAAAATTACAGAGTTACTCAGTAAAATCGGGAAACCATTTCGTAATTTGTTCATTTGCAAAATATCAGTTCATCATATCGAACTGGACTGCTCCCGTTGTAAAACATCAATCCATTGTCACTATTCATGCGTTTCATACAAATTCCATTGTGTTCTTCTAACTTTTCCTTTCTTGATCTTCCCCCATCTTCTGCTGCCAGACATTACGTTGACACTCACGTCATATACTACTTATGAGTAGCTCGCACCACAATTGGAGCGATAAGTGAATAACAATTTTCGGATATTTAGAAAAAAAACTCAATTTCTTTTTGTGAATAAGGTTGTGATTGGTTATAAATTTTATCATTTGTATGAGCTTAGGACAACTGGAAGATTAAGAAGCGACAATAGTTGGATAGTAATAATTAACGGAGTAAATTATTCAATGTTCATTGAGAGACTTTAAAAGTATTGGGTTCAATCCTTGATAACTTTATGATGTAACACAATTAACGGCTCTCATATTAAGAAACCGATTGATTTAACTTGATCTAATCTTGGTATGATTATACTTGATCGGTTTTTCAATTATAAACTTGTAACCTTTTTTTTATAAACACAAATAAGCTTAATTCATTGATTTTGTATGCCGTCCAGTAGTAACATTTTTGTTAACTTCTTCTTATTCTCTCGAATCGAGTGTATTGATTTTGGTTTTTGTTGTTGTACTAAATATATCAATTGATGTTTTAGAGACAGATAAAATAATCCAAGTTTAAATAGCTTCATAGTTTTAAAGTTTGTTTACACGACAACCTTGTATTTGATAACCTAGAGATACATTTAAGAAGTGTACGCGTAGATAATTAAATATTACATTAGACGTTCTGCAATTTAATAGTTATTTAACTAAAATCACTTAGTGATATATAAACTGTGCAATTGAACAATCTTCATAAACTCCTTAGATTTAATGAACGGACTAGTTAATCAACAATC